TTCCCACACAGACATACTTTGTATCAGAGAACTCCAGGCTGATAAGATTTAACACTTTTGGTCGTTCAGGCTGGTAGTAATATTTCACGAACTCTCCCAGCTTGAGCTTGCTGTCTGCCTGTCTTGCGACATCAATCACATCAATGACTTTATTTGCACCTGGAAAAAGAAAGTGGGATATTTTCAAATTGGGTGTGTGTTTACAGGACAGAGTTTCTCATATATAAATTCTCTGTTATGTCGGTTTCACAAACACAAAGTCTGTAATAAGGCTTTTGAGAGAGACAGCCGCAGGGCCGCATATCACGAATGACAGCTGAGGACCGGAAACAGCGCTGGACAGCTGCCGGTGAAGTGACTGCAATCCCTCGACACACACGCACACACACACACAGCTGGCCAGTGTCTGATGACAGGGAACAGCTGGAGGAACAGTCCCACAAACACATAATTGTGAAAGGCTCAAGGCCAAATTTGGGAACTGGACAAAACACTGCACTGCCAAGCTGAAATTTTTGTGGTCATCTCCAGCATTTTGTGGTTTATAATATGAAGTTAAAATCAACAGACAACATTTAAAGGTAAGGCCTTTAAAGTTCACCCCAAAATTATTCATCATTTATTTATCCATCATTATTTTATTGTTATAAGTGAATGGGTCAGTGTTTTTAGTATTATTTACATACTATTATAGTATTTATCATATTTATATAATATTTGCATTTTTCAGTTCAATTTCAGTTTAAGTTTGAGTCATTTTATGTGCTTTTGTCATTTTAATTAGTTTATCATTTCTATATAGCTTTAATTTTTTTTATAGTACTAGTTATAGTTATAGTACTAAAAATTCAAATGCCAAGGCACCATTTCTAATTTTCATTGTTTTTCATCAAATATTGTAGTTTATTTTAGCTTAATTTCAATTACAGAAAATTAGCTCCAAAATGACAAAAAGTACCATAAAACTAACATAAAAATAGACCAACTATATTTAAATTCTCCGATAACTTTTCTTGAGCAACAGACAGAAATTTAAGACAGTCCCAGTCCCTATTCACTTTCATTATTTGGAAAAGAGCAGCTTGAACACTCTGCCAAACCTCTTCTTTTATGTTACACAGAGTATTCAGAATATTTGGAAAGTGAGTAAATGACAAAATTTTCATTTTTGAGTAATGATACCTTTGACTTCCTTTTAAAATGGTTCTGATAAATAATGTTGCATACAGTTTGTTAAAGTCTGACAGTCTGACCACACACACACAACAATATTATTCTCTTAATTTAGCCATAGATGGAAGAATGAGTGTTTCTCATAATGTACTTATCTTTTCTAAGAAAAGAAAAGCAGGTGTAGGGAGAAAAATGGAAGAAACGACAGACAGAGAAGGTTAGTGGCCTTTTGTCTGTTGCCAACTGGCTGGGTAACATGATCTGTTGAGTGGCCCGCTCCCCCCTCTCTCCCTC